TAGTAATTCAAGTAAGTGCGAACTATATATAATCACTGAAACAGACCCGGATTTCCTAAGTCATGCGGTACTCGACTGCCGGTTTTCAGTCGCGCTACATCACCCTCCATGTGAAACGTAATGTTGGTATCCACAGAGTGTTCAATATGATCGGCTGAAATGAATTCATTACTCGCCGAGCTTTCACCAAGGGACAGCACAGTCTCGTTCAAAATCCACCACAAGCCCTAACACAAATGAGATTCCGGTGCATTTTAGCTCGGGGAGGCATTTTGTGCTTTGATAAGTTCAATCGTCGGTGTTCATTGCTTTACAAGAGTTGACAGGTATTCCTCACAAGAGTTGGCAAGGGGTCCCCAAAAACTTCTGTATCACTTCAGAAGATTCCACAGATCTATACTTGACGTCGATGGGAAGTAGCAAAAGTACATAATGCCTCCGACCCCAAGCCGAACTGTGTCGAACCTCCTAAGAAAGGATATGAACCAAAATGTTCAAAAATATTACTCACTGAACTCTGCCTGAACTGTTAATTCAATATTCGGCCATAGTTGAGCTAAAGCAAATGAAGCATAAAAGTGAACGTCGTAGGTGTTCACCATGCGATATTCCCAAGCTGAAAAATCCCTCGTAAAACAATATCCCTCAATGGAATGAATGAGGCCTCAAAAAGTATAGACTCACACTCCAGATACCCAAATCGGCCATACTTTCGCATAAGACCCTTCGTATAGTCACTTAAGTGAGTTTCGCTCTTGGACCAGTTATCGTCAAATTCGAACCACAACTAAAACATACAACTTGTAAGTTGAAAATTGTTATCCCAAGGACATGTCTTACCGATCCTCCATCAGTCATAAAGTACAGCTCGTTGAATATGGCCGATTTATACCATTCAGGGAGCCGTGGATGTTCCAGAACCGGATTCTGCCATTCATCCAGGGCATTTTCCCATTCCGTTCGACGCCGAATGGCTCTGGCACACAGGCAGGATGCACCCCGGATGAAGCTAGCATAACGCCTGCAAAGCAGTGAACTATGGAATCAAGTTGGTAATGCTCTACTTTTCACCTCAAGTTGATCTATTCACAAATCAATCATTGTCAAAGAACTTAAATAAAAATTGTCGAATTTTTGCACGAGTTGGCTTTGGGGGGGGGGTAAAAGGAGGAGTGGCACTTTGTTGTTTTCCTTTGGTAAACGCCATGTTAACTGACATGTCTCACCTGAGACCTTGTGGAAGTTGATGCAAAATGGTTCTTGCTCGAGGTATTTTGTATTTACAGGAATTTGCAGCACCAACAATAAGTGGCCCGTAGCAGGCCTTTTGAGCCCCATGCTTGGCGGCTCCCACGCATGGCCTGACCTGCGCCAATATATATTCAACATATATCTAGAAAATTTTGAAAGAGTAAAGACAAATCTAGACAAATGAGAGGCACAGATTGATAAGGAACTCAACGGGAACTGACTCTTCATACCATCGTGGCCGATGCCAGAATGTACATCAGGGCATATCCAAAGATAACGCGAAGTCCCTTGACTGAGAGCTATTCGCCGCCACTTGGAACCGATTACAGATACCTACAGCTAACTCGGAGCAGCCCGGAGGACACTCGTTGTCCTAGAAAGGGTACATCATTAGGAATGCTCAACTTCTCGAGTTTAAACTTCAGTCACTACATGATAATGGTCATGCCATACGTTCGTGCCTCGAAGTTACCGAAAGAAAATTTGCTGAGTTGTGGGCAGAAGCCTTGACCCAGGCGAGATTCTGCACTCAAGGCTAGCGGCGAGGCGTTTATCCTGTCACATCTTATTCCTTGCGACATGAAGGGCGCGGTCAATGAGGCGTGCCGCCAGCTGGTTTCTTGACCAGTTGTTGAAGCGGTAGGAGACGCCATTGGTGGACTGACTTACGCGGGCGATATGATACGCCCTGTTGAGCGTTGGCGAAGCCAAAAAGAAGAAATGGGCTGGCGTCGTGCTAAGCGCCCATCCCTTCGACGAGCGCCCGCGTTATTGCGCGGAAACGACGCCGACCGCCGCTCGATTGGTTGTCTCTTGCAGCCTCAACTTCTCACCGCCGCCGCCGCGGTGTGAGGCACTTCTACCCGTAGCAAAGGCATTTGTTCTTGTTTATAAATCATACAGTTCCAGTGGCAATATTTGACAATACGCTATCAGTATCACCTACCTGAACAGGTAAATCACCAGTTTCAAGCAATGACGCCCATACAGCGCTACCCGATTTTGATGGATCAAACCTATGGCAAACTGAGATTTGACTTGGAGAAGATGCCTGAAAATGAATATCCCTAGTCGGGTGAGGACAATGATTGAGTTGACAAAGTATTCAGTGCTCTTGATAGCATGGAAACTCACATCAGAAGACGTCGCTAGACCGTAAGTGCAAGGCAGTTGAGAAATTGTATGGGCTAACGTTACACCAGTCACTAGAAACAGATAAATTAGAAACTTATGGAAAAAATGGATCAGGTCGCTGATTTATCTCACCATTGCCGTCCGTAAATCTCGCAAATGTGCATTCGGACTCATTCTCCCATCGCCGATTGCCGGTGCCATTACGAAATGTGAACGCAATCGACACTTCAAGATCGTCAGCACTATCATTTTGGACCGTCACAACAAAACAGCTTACAGGTAGACTTGAGTCCTGAAAGGGACCTCGCCATAATTTTATCCTTCAAGGCTCAAAGTAAAACAAGTTACTGAGGAAGAAGGCGCTGGAGTAACTACCGCGCCACTTGGTGCAACGGTTGGTTGTGTTGTGATTAATTCATTCATGCAGAAGGAGTTCTTTAAAGCATTGATGATGGTTCCCATTGACGTTGACGGCTCCTGAACCAGCTCACCCACCCCAGAGCTCCCCGGGAAGGCAGAAGGACCTCATGATTGTTCATAACGAAGGAAGTCTGTCACAGGGGTCGGCCACCACAATAGCCCAGTATGCAACACTAACGCCCGAAAAAAAAGATATTGGAACCAAACTTTACCTCGTAGTTGTTTGGCAACACTGGTGAAACTTGTCGAATAATGACTTTAATGTCCAGTGCCTTGACATCGTAACAGGTCCAAGACCGTGGATAAAGACCTCTGAAGATATAACTGTCAGGAAAAGAATTGCAAAGTAAAAGGTTCAAGGAGAGAAAAGAAAGAGCAGGGCCGAGAAATGATGATTCATACTCCATCACTCAAAAAGCAGAGCAAATATCCTACTGCACTGCTGCTACCGGTTTGACAAGGGTAGCCGGCATACTCGTATTTCAGAGATGTCAAGAGCTCTGTCTAGGTATTTGCTTTGAAGCTCCCCCGTAGTTAGCACAGGCTACACCCCTCTCCTCCTTTTCAGTCATATTTATTTTTTTTCAAATTGTTATTACTACTCGAGTAGACATGTGGACACCTGGTTGCCGTTCTTGTGACGATTCGTATTCTTAGGCCTCTCAGGGCTGATGAAATGGCTTTTGTGAGGTCAGGGTGAAACACATCATCAGTCTTTAGTGGTAGTTTTTCTTGCCACTTCTATTTTTTCCAACTTTACCTGACCCAGATGCATAAATAAACAATTAAACAAGGTGCAAACTTGAAAAGATAGGTGAGACCTTTCCCTTTCTCTGCTATGGGGTTATCTCGTTGACCCACGACCGGGCACCTACGGCAACAATCGATCTAACAACAAATCACTGAATCATTCCAAACTACGGACAAATACCCTATCAAAACTCCATGATAGCGACTTTGAATCTCGCATTTACACTGAAATGTAAATATCAGAATATCACGGTGGGCTATAGCTACTCAGCCGTAGAGTTGGCTAAATGAATGTTAAATTGAATGAAAAAATCGCGGCATTGATAATCTGTGTGATTCCTCAGGGCACACGCCACCCATGCTTCGCCCACTGAACTTTTCAGAAGAACAGGAGGGAAAGGTGGGAGAGCTGGCAAAGAGGATA